CCTCTGATTTTAAAAGCCAAATGCTCTCAACGTCCATATTTGTTCCTGTGTAAATTATTTGAAAATGGAACCCCCAAACAATGCTTACTCATTGGACTGAAGTGAAAACCTAATTGTGAAATGCGATTTGAAAGAGTTGTTTCATTTGGTGAAATGTAGATGATAGCTTTGGGGAATGTGACTTTATAAGGAAATTATATTAAAGAGAGAGACTTTCGTAGATGAAATGATTTTATAATAATACACGAAAGATTTACAAATATCTGGCATTACACCCAGGGAAAGATTCGGGGCTAGCATGAAGGAATGATGGATAGCAGTAAACGGGCAGCACAACCGAACACAGGGCTGAGCGCTGGTCCTTAAGACACAGAATGTCGGGGTGGTAAGAACAGAGGGATCCAGGTCTTTACTGAGAGTATGATATTGTTGGACAGATAGCAGAGAAAGAAGATTCGTATTAGTTTACCGTAAATGGGAGCTGGAGTTGGAGTAGGAGCTAGAAAGGACATCAACAGAAAGGATTTTAGTCAAAATTAGTAAGGAAAGCTGTAAAACAGCACACGGAGATAGATTTCCCAGTATGAACATTATAAGCTAAGCTCTATAAGTGCTGTGGAGACATAGCATGCAGCAGTAATCTAGGGGAGGGGTGGGCGTGAGAATGTCTTAATTTTAAATAAAGGTAGGTGACTTCCCTTGTGTTTTATAAAGAACATCACCAATGTGCACATCCACCCTCTTATCCCAGCGCTGGTGTTGAGTTCATGCACACAGAAATCACTGCCTTAGATACATTTTTAAGAAGAAAAGCAGCTGTCTAACTCACCAATACAATTATAAGCAGATCACAAGCAAACATTTACTGGTTATCATTTTCCTTTTCGACCTGACACGGAGCAGTTGACTGTGCTCTGTGCTCTCGTTCTTACCAACAACGCTGAGCACGGCGCTGGCAGAGACGGCGTCCAGGGTGGTGCTGGCCACGCACGTGTAGGTGCCCCCGTCATCATCACCTACGTCAGCGACCACCAAATGGTCCTTGTCGACGGTGAGCCTGTGGAGCGACACATTCGGGGCAGCTGAGACGAGCATTGTGTTACTGGGTGAGAGAAACTCCTTGACCTTGGTAAACGAGAAAGATATTTCCAGGGCGTTCGAGTTGAAACCATATAATCTATATTGCTTTAGTAATGGTGCCTGTTGGAAAAGAGTGGAAGGACTAGAAGGAGACTCTTGGACTAGATGGGGAAGTAAGCCATCTGACAGAGTGATTTTGATCCACGCCTTTGGAATCTCTCTTACTCTCAAAACGAAAACTCCCCACCTTTGGAATCTTTTTATTCTCCAGTTTTATCACGAACAAATAAAGAAAGAAAACTCACTGCTGTCAAGTGGATGCTGATGTACAGTGACTGTCCGACAGGGCAGAACTGCCCCTGCGAGTTTCCTAGACTCTAACTCTTTGCGGGAGTAGAAAGCCCTGTTTCCTTCCACCAAGTGGGCTGGTGGTTTTGAACTGCTGACCTGTGGATCACAGCGCAATGAGCAGCCACGATAGTCTCAGTCTTCAGGGCTTCATTAGGTTCTCAGGGGCAACACAGGTAAGGTTGGGGTAACTCTATCGTTGCTCTAGGACAGGGGTCCTCAAACTTTTAAAAGAGGGGGCCAGTTCACTGTCCCTCAGACCTGTTGGAGGGCCGGACTATAGTTTTTAAAAAAAACTATGAACAAATTCCTATGCACACTGCACATATCTTACTTTGAAGTAAAAAACCAAATGGACAAAAACACCCAGAGGGCCGGATAAATGTCCTCGGTGGGCCACATGTGGCCCGCGGGCCATAGTTTCAGGACGCCTGCCTAGGACCTCATGAAGCTCTCTGTTGCCAAGAAACATTAGAAAACCAGCCCAATGTCTTAACAAAGCCCTTATTTAAGAACAATGTGTTTTCTATCGCAGAGCTGTGATCCGGGGTTTCCAGAGCTACAACCTGTAAAGCAGCAGATTGTCTCACCTCTTCCTGTTCGAACCACCAACCTTTCAGTTACCAGCTAAATATTGAACCACCAGACTGCCTCGGAACCGCTCACAGGAGAGGGTAAAAGCAAAGAATAGCAGTCTGTCTTATCACCACCAACAGGAAGATTTGGATCAGCGACCTGCGCACAGGTCTCATGGAGGCTGCTTGTGAGGATGGAAAACCACTCAGCAGGCCAAGCACCCAGGGGGGCGGGCTTTGTGCGCGGTTTTCACGAGGCTGCATAAATCATAGACTGCGTTCTCCGGTGACGCCCGAGTGAAAGCGTAAGCGACTTCGCTCTCCTGCCCATCCCAACGCTGCTGACACAAATACAGCTGGTGTGCTGAAGCACAGAACCAGATGGAAAAACTCTGCTCATACAGAGGAGCCGTCCACAAGAGCTTTGGGGGGCTGTTGATATGTAAATCCATGAGCAACTCGAACAGTGACACCCTTAACTGCCAACTAGACGGGCTGGCAGTTTGAACTCACCCCAGAGTGCCTCAGAAGAAAGGGCTGGCTGCCTGCTTCTGAACCATTACAACCTTGAGAGTCTGGTGGGGTGCACTTGGAGTCGAAAAAAACATCGGGTTGCTATTTGATAGCACCCGATTTTCTGTTGGCTTGTTTGTTTTGCAGTTAGACTCGGAGCTATGGACCAGGTCATGAGAACCATCGGATCCACTGCCACCAGAATAGTGTTCCTGCCCAGGGAGGACAATGCCTACAGCCACTCGGCTACTGCCCAAACTCACTCATTCAACTCAGCGTCCTGACGGCGTGGGACGGAGAGTCTCACCTGAAAATGACCAGGCCTCTCTCCCATTCCAAACTCAAGGGCTGCAGTGTGCACAGCCTCTTCTCAACGCTCTACCTTCTTGATTGCCTTTCCCCTTCCACTGGCTTTAGATAAAATCATAATGAAACCACCGATGCAAATAATAATAGAACAGCCCAGTGCCTTATACAGATGAGGATCCCGGCCCACTCTGGTGATTAAGGAGATGCTGTTCCAGCTTATTGGTAGAACAGTGATGAAAACATCTATTGAGACTTCATTGTACAGAGCACAAAAAGTGGCCTGAGATCTGGAGGGTGTTCCCTATCCCAAGTGGACAGAACGAGAAGACTGACACACACAGAGACGGACATGCTCGGTGTCTTAGGTCAACAACTTGATGGCTGTTTTCGTCCCGACATCCTACAGTAGGGAGCAAAGGCGCCTCTCTATTTTGGAAACTGTAGCCTTCAGGAACATACAGAAAGCTCTCTGTTGAGTCGCCCGACAAGACCCCCGTGGGTTACTAGCAGCTTAAAGAGGAAGACGAGAAAGGAAAGAAATCATCTCAAATACCTTCCGTTATTGGGCAGCTCACCATTGTCCTTCAGCCACAGGACAGTGGGGACTAAGGTACGGTCGTGTTGCACGTGGCATTCAAAGGACACCGTCCCCCCTCTTTGCACCACTGCGTACTCCGGCTGCTTCGTGATCCTTGTTGGATCTGAAATGTAATGTCATTGTTATCTGTTGCTCAGAGTCCCTCACCCCAAACCAACCCACTGCCATCGAATGGATCCCAAGTCAGAGACAGTCTGGATAGCAACCCTACAGAGGGCTTCGAAGGACTGCGCTGTGCCCACGGGTACAGACAACCTCATCCCCCCCCCCCCAGGTTTGAACTGCTAACCTTGCAGGCAGCAGTGGACTCACTGCTCACCCAGCAGCGCCACCAAGGCTCCTCTAACGTCACCAAGCAGTTGACAAAAGAAAGCACGCCTCTGCCTTACCTTTGATTTCTAACCGAATTTCATTCTTTGCCGTCCCCAATTTATTCCTTGCAACGCACGCATACGTTCCTGCACTGTCCTTTTGTGCCACAGGGATCTCCAAGGTTCCATTCTCATGTAAGAGGTAAGTCTCTTCGCGAAGAGCACTTCCTTTGACGCCTTTAAACCTGCATTCGAGGTATCACCCCGATGAGAGAAAGACACAGAGAAAGACTCATCTCTCAAAGTGCGACTTTCAAGGTCGACACCGCACTTAAATGTCAGAGTCAGAGACAGGGGCCCCGGCACAGTGCAGGCGGCTGCGTGCAAAGACAAGAACATCAAGCTGGAAATTCAAAGAGAAATGGTGCTTGTAGAGTGAGCCTGGTAATTCATCATCTTTACCATGGGAATTTTGTTATGGGAGGGCCTTAAGTTAATATATATACGTCATTACCGATTTCATCTCTAAATAGGTGGTAAAGTGATGAACTCGGTGGCACAGCGATTATGAATTGGGCTGTTCACCGCAAGGTCAGTAGTTTGAAGCCATCGGCCGCCCCAAGGGAGAAAGAGGAGGCCATATCGTTCTGTAAAGGCTTCACAGTCTTGGAGCCCCCCAGGCTCTACCCTGTTCCAGAGGGGCACTGTGAGGCCGAACCGACTCCATGGCTGTGAGATACTTTGAATGATGTCCTTGTAACTGCAGGATACTATTCTTAGAAGGATTGTGATTTCCAGGAGGCCCTACTGAAAGTCTGAAAGGGAAGTGACCCGAGGAGCGGCACGGAGAAAGACTACAGAGCAGGCTCACATTCAGCTTCGTGGTGCCTGCCAGCCAGGGCCAGGGAGGGTGCATATGGAGGAAGAGAAGCCCTGGCAAGTTGTGTGCACTAGAATCAGTGTGAGTCCTCTGTGGCCAAGGCGGGATGGAGACGCTTCCCTGTCGATCTCCTCCTTGTTAGGGGTGGTGGAACCGATCTTTGGCTCGCAGCCACCCTGGATGACAGAGTAGCTCTTCCCTGGAGGGCTGCGCCTTGGCTGCAACCTTTATGGAAACCCATCTCCAGATCTTCTTCTGTGGAGGTGCCGGTTGGGCTCAAACCACCAACCTTTCAGTGAGCAGCCAAGTGCTTAACTTGGCTTTCACCACTAGGGATCCTCCTCTTAATCCTAAACCAGTCTTTCATCTTAGACGCCCCCCCCCCCCCCAGCGGCACAATGGTTAAAGCACTTGACAACTAACCAAAAGGTCCATGGCCGGAACCTAGCAGCTGCCCTGCAGGATAAAGATGGGGCAGTCAGCTTCCATAAAGGTTTAAGTCCTTACAAACCCTCGAGGGCAGCGCTACCCTGCCTACAGGTGAAAAATACTCACTGCCATTGAGTTGATTTTGACTCCCAGCTACCCTCGAGTAGTAGGTTTCTGAACCTTTACATGTTTACAGCACTCGGCAGCCTCATTTTCCTCCTTCAGAGTGGCTGGTGGATTCACACTGCTTACCTGTGGTTAGCCACCTATTGCACAGCCCACGGGACCAGCGCCCCTCGGTCTGACAGGGTTGCGATGAATCAACTCCACGGCAAAGGGGTGGGTTTGGAGCCTTTATTCTCACACCAGTGTCTGGAGCCCAGCACACCACTTGGCAGCCGATAGATGCTCAAAAAGGGAATGCTCTAACGATTTCACTCCATTCTGTCCTGTCTCTCCCAGCTTATGTGAAAATAAGCATGGTGTGTGCGTGTGAGTGTGTGTTTATGTGCGCATGCGTCAAACTTCACATCAGGAGCTGGGTATGAAGGGAGTGGGCTCCCGTGAAAAGACACAGGAGAGCGTTGCCAGATCCAAGGCAGGACGATCAAGGGAAAGATACTCAAGAGAAACCCTAGGAATGACAAAATCTAGTTTGTAGGTTACAGAATTCAGACTAATATTTGTTACCTTCTTTTTACCGCAAACACGATTTTACGATCAAGGAATGCCCCCAAACCATTCCCTCCAATCACCATTTAGAGGGTTCAGGTGATGCCCATTGAAAACTCCGGCAACCTAAAAGCGGTTTTTAACCTTTCACCTACAGCTCTGCAGTTGACAACAGGTGCCTTGCATGTGGCTCAAAGCAGGCTGCTAGTAAAGCTATGTGAAAGCATGAATGCATTTAATAATTAACAGGTGATGGATTCTTCATGGTCTTGCCTCTATCTTCTCTTTGATAAGCACACAACACTGAGACGTTGGGTGGCTTTCACAAAAGTAGAGTATTCAAGGAGGAATGGGGCCCTGACTTACCACTCGATGGTAGGTCGAGGGGACCCAAAGAAGGCACAGTCCAGGAAAGCAGGCCTGTTGGCAATGACCTGATAGAGGGTGTTTGCCGACGTGAGGATTCGTGGCGGCTCAGCTACAAATAATTTGAAGGGAAAATATCTTTACAAGGGAAAGTCAACATGAAAAGTAAAACATACATTTTAGGCCCACAGTGTACAGACGACACTTGTTTTCATTAGGGTTGACTGTCAAGCACAGCCAACAGTTGTGTCCCTTGCATTCCCATCAGCCTCCGTCTTCCCTCAGCTTCCAGGACCATCTCCCTCAGCTTCAGGGGCCAAAACTTAGCGGGGGACATGGTCTTTGTTATTGCTGCTGTTGCTCTTAGTGAATTAATTTTTAAAAATTGTGAGACTCTGCGAGAAGGATTCAGAAAGTGCACAGAGAAATTCTAGTATCATTTGATTCCATTTTTTCCCACCAAACTCTCTCTTATAGCGATATAAACCTGCCATTTCAACATTCTTATGACATGTTCAATCCAATGAGATCAATTATTTTCTTGTCTAGGGCACGGCATTAAAAAAATGTATCAGTGTTATCACTCAGAAACCATAATGAGTTGTACAGAACACCTTAAGAAATTTACCAAAAAAGCCACAAGAATGAAATGTGAATTCAGCAAGAGGAAAGAGGGAGATACACGGCAGATATCTTAAATCAATTGTACTTCTATATTCTTGCAGTTTTAGCACAATACAATGCTAAAACAAATACCACTTAAAATAGCAACCCCCCCCAAAAAATGATTCATTAGATAGAGGTGCATTAATCAAAATTACATGGAAGCCCTGTACACTGGAAACCACAAAATATTTCCCAGAGACAAGGACGGACTAACAAGCAATGTGGAGGAATTTCAGAAGCATTATGCTAAGTGAATGAAGCTAGACATTGTCTAGTGAATTCACTAAGTGAATGACGAAGACTGCCTGCTGTATAAATTCAATTACAGTCATATTTCTGGTGTAAAACATACGACAGTCCTGTGGGATAAGGGAGAGAAGGGCTGCTGGCAAACAGGAATGAGGTGATTTGGGGGTGCGGTGGGGTGCGGTGATAAAAGTTTTCTCTATCTTGAGTTCTACTTAGACAGGTACATACATTTGGTATACCCATGGCCGTACTCCTGTATACAAATATGTATTAGATAGACATAGTTGTCAACTTATGTTTAGGTGTAACTGCACCTAAAAGGTATCAATGCAAGAAAAATGCATAACTGTTGATTTATTCAGTTGTATATTCTACTATATTGGGAGTCCTTTGCTGGCAGGAATAGCCTTTTTTAAAAAGTATTTAATCCCCAGAAACTAGTACATTGTCTGACACAAAGAGGCTGGCCAAATCCATTTTGTTGGATGACTGACCCATCATAAGCCATGGCTTGCAGGGGGTGTGGTGGTGGATTGTGGGGAAACATCAGATGGGCGAGAAAAGTAGAGAGCTGCTCGGTGGGCTCGTTACAAGCAGACCCGGAAGCCAAGCGGGCGCGTCAGCACCTACCCCACCCCAACTGCCCCGTCCTGCACGTGACTTCCTGGCCCATTTCATGCAGGAAGGAACAGTACCATGGACTGGCTGTCTTCTTCATTTTAAATCGTTTGAAGAGGGGGCATGCCAACCTTACGGGCTGGAAATATACATCTCTGGCACCATTTCTCACAAAAATGTTTAACAGATTTGGTATTTTGTTATCGGAATTTGACAAATAAAATGTCCATGTGAATCATTTAATTAAGAATATGCCAGAGGATAGCTTTGATGGTTTTCTAAACATATTGCTATGGATTAATAAATAACTCTACATCTCCGAATTGAATAAAGGTTGAGATTATGATTAATGGTTTGTTTCTGAAAAGCTGGAATCATGAAATTGTTCATCCAACCTGTCAGATTCCAAGGATGGAGATGGTAGTCATATTCATATGATTACCGGCAAATGCTATCTTCCTCTTGAGGGGATTAGCACTTAGTCTAACCATCTGGGAGCAAACAGTGCAGCCCGACTAGCTGGCTGTTTATACAATGAAGGACATGCCAGCTCAAAAACTGTGCTAAGAGAGACCGTGAAGACCAGGGGATGATATACTTGCGGCTGAGGTTTGTATCATCTGTTTCACGTAGCTCTCACAGCTCCTAGGCCTGTACTTTGCACATTAGACATGCTCAGCTTATTTTTGCTGAGTGAATGGGCACCCCTAGCATTCGCTGATTTAATTTGCCGTGTTTTTCATAAAACTTTCAGGAAGAGAAAGCTTACCCAGCACATTTACAAATGCATTTGACAGTAAGTATCCATATTCATTAGAAGCGTTGCACTGGTACACCGCACTTGATCTTTCTTGAACATTTGAAAAGATAATGGTATCACCATCTATTTTTCGGCTGGGGTCATCCGCAGCAACTGTTCAGGTGTAAAACCAAAAAGTATAGCTTTAATCCATTTTGCATAAATGATGTAAATTGATCACGCAACACTCAAGGCCCACATGGTAATAAGTAGAACAGTTATGCAGACTGTTGGAGACACAGGACAAACAACAACAACAACAACAACAAAAAGAATAAGAACTCAGGCAAAACCAGCAACTTTTTCCTCCTGAGGATTTAGTTACCACTTATCAGCAGGGGTACACGCTCCCTGCTCATTTAGTCTTCTTACGTGCATTGCGTCAGTAGGACTGAACATGATCAGAACCAGAGAAGATACGGGGGCAGGGTTGGGGTGGGGGGGTGGAGCATAATTTTACATGAAAATTACAATGCAAATTCAGGAAATCATTGTCCTATTACAAAGACACTGGGGTTATCAGTGAGGAAGCATGTTATTTTCTCTGTGCTTTCATAAGACATGTAGCCGGGCAGGCGTAGTTCTGCCTCTGTGAATGAGCGCTATTGAAAGGCTTGCCCTAGCTCCAAGCACCATAATTTGTGTAAATAGTGTCCAGTCACATAAGAGTCTAATCTGTTCAAATCAACAATTCATGTATTGTGATCTGAAAAGCCAGTCTATACTTGTATACTTTATTTTTCTCAATAGTGTTTTAAAGACTATACCATTGGCTAAACTAATGACACTATCAAAAGAATTACCTTGAGCCCCAGGAGGATGATATATAATGTTCTCTATCATAAAATGGTAAAAGGTGAACCAGAGACATATAAACCATAGATAAGTGAATGGATTTGGGGAGTGTACTTAATTCTAGCCTTATCTAAGAATAATTCGTTCTTTTGACATGGTCTTATTTTATACTTGTCCTCATGAAGAGATCACATAAGTGTGGCAAAGAAGTTAGATGGTGCCTGGCTGTCAGAAAGAATAGCATCTGGGATCTTAAAGGGTTGTCTTCAAACAAGCAGCCATCTAAGTGAGGCACCAACTAAGTCTACATGGAAGAAGCACACCAGTCTGTGTGATCCAAAGATTGTAAATAATAAAATCCAAATATGGATGAGGAAATAGTGTCAGAGCTTAAACGGTGGACACCTGGTTTGCAGAAAGCAATGGCTGACAGGGGAAGCCCCACACGCATTTGTAGGGTCCCCATATGGATGAAGCCTCTGGAGGATTCCCTGTGACCGTAGTTCAGGATGCGAACAGCCTTCTTGTCAGATACCGAGCACGGTAAAGGCGAGTGTGGCAGACGCAGTTCAGTTAAAATCTAACACCGTCTTCCTTTTGACCAATTTTAACTTCTTTCAGTTTTTAATATTTTCTGCTTTCCTTTAGATTGAGGTTTTTCCTCTGTTTAGTCATTGTTATTATTTTGTTTGTTTGTTTCCTGGTTGTGTTTATATGGGTTTCTGTATATATGTAAATCTATAGAGACAGTGATTAGATTAATTATGACCTAAGGGCATGGCAGGAGAGGTTAGGGGAAAACATGGAGCTAAAAACAATGAGCACGAGAAGAAAATGCTCTGAAACTGATTGTGGGGATGGTTGCACCACTCTTCTTAATATGATTGAGCAATTAGATTGTATAATATCCAAAGTTTGTGACAACAAAACTTTAAAAAATTTTTTTAAAGAGGAGTCCATAAGAGTGGGAAGACAAATCAAGGTTCGGGTGAAGGGTTGAACTACTAGGGGCTTGATTATTAGTTTAAACTGTGGAATCCAAAGTTGATGATCTAATATGTAAATCCCACTCAATTTACAGTAAACATGGTTGTCTATAAAAAGGACAAAATAGAAAAAGGTAATTTAAAAAATCTAGAGACATCATAGCTTAATTAAAAAAAGAAGACAGACTAACTTCTGCAAACCTGCTACTTCTAAGAAGAGCTTCTTAATGAGATGAATGAATGACCCAATGTGCCACATTAAATATGAAAATATCATCTTTCTTCTATGGAAATTCCTGATGCTATAGTAGAAATAAATGGTGTAAAATTTCACTTAAAGATCGTGTTTTCAGCTAAATGGCTTAAATCCGTTAAAAAAAAAAAAAAAAGCTAAGTGGAGATAATTTTCATTTTATGAATGCCAAACATTACCTGTGACCGCACACTGACGTAAAGGGGCAATGGTGCCTGCCTTAGCATGTTGGGCAAAATCAAAACTAACTAATAGCATCCCTTTCCTTAAGTAGCTCTTGCAATTTGAACCAGTTAAGTAGGCTTTACTTTCAGCCTAATATTATTTCTTTCTTTTGAGTAGTAAGAAAAAGATGCCTAAGACATCGTTGCCAATGCATTTAAATTCCTTTAGTACTCAAAGATGGGGGGTGGGGGAGGGAAACCTAACCATTTTGGTCACTTTAAAGAGAAGAAACTATAGTTGTTCAACTTTATTTCCTACAGCCACATTCTTGTGCACATCCATTCTATATTTGCCTTTCACTGCTGCTGTTACAAATGATCACCACTAGTGGCTTAAAAACAATATACATTTATTATTGTTCAATTCTGCAGTCTGTTACAAGACTGACGGAGTCTCCTTGAGCTAACACCACAGCTCTGACCTCCTGAGCGAAAGCCAAGGTATTAGCAGGGCTGTGTGCCTTCCTGGGGGCTCTAAGGTTACAACTGTTAGCTGTTCCAGTTTCTAGAGGTGGCCCACATTTCTTGGCTTGTGGACCCTTTTTCCACTTTTAAAGCCAGCAACATCCCATAGTCAGATCTTTCTTGACCAGCTGGGATAGGACACATGGGATTACATTGGGCTCAAACCAATAATCCAGTAAAATCTCTCAAAGTCCGTAGCCTTACTGATATCCACATATTCCTATGTCAGGTTACATAGTCATGGGGCCCAGTAGTGAGGATGTGGACCTCTTTGGATGGGGGTGGGAGGTGAGGCACTATTCTGCCTACCACACATTCTCGGGATGTGTGAGTTAGGCCTTCGGCTGCTAAGGGCAAGGTGGGCAGTTCACACCACCGGCGGCTCTGCGGGAGGGAGAGGAGGCAGCGCCTTTCAAGACTTGGCAGAAACCCTTACAGAGTTGCTCTGAGGCAAAGCTGACTTGAGGGCAGTGGGCTTTCCTCTATTTGGGCACAAAGTTGAAATGGGCCGGAGAGCAGTGGGTTTTCAACTTGGCTTCCACGAGCTTCCCGCAGGGTGTGTGCGCACAGTGCACTTGTGACAAGAGGAGGCTTGATGTCATTTGCATCCCCTTCACTGCCTTCCCTCCTCATCTCTCAGGGGAACGGTGCCTGAACTCCCGATAATAACGGGACCCGAGCGAAGAAGGACCTGAAAGCGCTCACACGACCTACATAGGGGACAAGGAAAGATGGACAGACGTCTGGCTCTGCGCTGAGACGGGCATCTGGGTCAGAGGCCGGAATCATGCTGGCCCAACCGCCCCGGGTCAGCACATGACCCCTCACCACCCCAGATCGTGTTGTACTTGAAATATCCCAGATCACTATTTCTTTCTAACAGTGTCACAGCTCAGTTCTTCAAACTGTTGCACCCCGTGAAGAATCACGTGTAGCTCCATTACCACGACCAGAGAGAGCGTGACGAGAGAGCATCTACGGAGAGGGCTCAAACTGGAAGACTCTCCTGTACAATGCCCATCGCTGTGGCCATAACCCTCCTTTACAGGGCACGGCCTGGAATTCCCCACCTGTTACCCCGGATAAGCATGGTGCTACCTCTTCACAAGCCCCCTTGATAAACTTCCCCTGATCCGTGTGCAGAGAAATACAGCTCGGGCTGCCTTAAGGGCCTCCATGTCTCCCCCATCTGAGGCACTTTCTCCTTTAATCAATCTCCTTGAGTGACGAGCCTGACTCCAGCGTTGCTATTCCGGCGGGGTAGGGGAAAGGACTCTGAACTGAGAGGCAGTCAGGTAACAGGGGATGGGGAAGGCAGAGAGGAAGGAGGAGGACTCACGGAAGAGTCACTTCAGGCTGACTCTGCAGGCTGGAAACAGGGACGCTTTGCCCCATCCTGCTGAGAGCACACGATTCTCCTCCTGGTCCTGGGTTCCGCCCCACCAGCACCTTTACAGCAAAATGTGCTTCCAGCAAGGCTCTCTGCCGCCGAATTCTTATTCCCACAAATGAAGATTATGTACAAATAGGTATTTTAGGTCATTTGGGGCCTATTCCATAGTTCATGCAAGCTATGTTTTGCTTCAGGAAAAGTTTAAAGTAAGTCAGTCGGTCCTGGTAGCACAGTGGGTCATACAATGAGCTGCTAACTGCAAGGTTGACGGTTCAATCCCACCAGTTGCTCCTCAGAAGAAAAATGAGGCTGTCTGCTCCTGTAAAGACTGAAAGTCTTGGAAATCCTACGGGGCAATTCAAGTCTGTCCCCCAGAGTGGCTGTCAGTTGGCATGGCCTTGGTAGCAGCGTCCTTGTTTCGTTTCCTTTCTGGGATATGTGCCTTTGGGTGGACAGAACTGTAGAAGGTAGTGAACCCAAGAACCCCGGTGCTCTTTGAGAGAATTCTTCTAGCTTGCACACAAAAGGCTACAGGTCTGAATTGCAATGTCCTAAATCAGTGACACTGTTTTGCTAACAGAACCTAAGTGTCACCTCTCACTTTCCCGGATCCTATTTCTCCTTTTCCAGGATTTGTCTGCTCCACAGTCAGAGCTGAAAAGAGGGAGCAGGGCGGCCCCGACGTGGTCACCCAGGAGTCGGAGGCTGTGTATCTGGCCGTATGGGCTCCTGACAGTGTCTCCGTTGTGTGGCTCCCGGTCAGGACACTCGCAGCTCCCCACCTGCTGGTATAGAACACAGCTGCTCCCTCCCCCATCCACGGCAGCTGCTCCACCCACAGTTTCCACAGCTTCTGGAGTGGGGGGTACCATTAGCAAGCTAGTTCGTGCTGCCAGCTACCTTCTGTGGCCAACCCTAAGTCCTGTGAAGGTTAGGAATCCTAACCAGGCCAATTCAACACCACTCTATCCTGGGGCAGCATTGGCTGACCTGTGGGCATCGCTCCATCCTTCACCCCCACACCAGTATTGCTGGCTGTGTCTGTGTGGTGCACCACTCAGCAAGCTGCCGATGGGAAACCAACACCAGTGCTCTGTTTCCCGCCCTGAGCCCAAACCTCGTAGGCCAGCGGTTCTCCACCTTCCTAATGCCACGACCCTGTCTTACAGGTCCTCATGTTATGGTGACCCCCCAACCATAACATTATTTGAGTTGCTACTTCATCACTGTCATTTTGCTACTGTTATGAATTGGATAATCCCTGTGAAAGGGTCGTTTGACCCCCCCAGAGGGGTCGTGACCCCAGGTTGAGAACCACTGTCAAAGGCAGTGCTGGGGGCTCCCAGATGCCTGGGGCAACTATCAGTGAGACAGGAAGGGACGAGGCAGTAGCTGCTCAAACTTCCAGCTCTTTTTGCCAGGTAAGCAAGGTTAGCACAAACGGGCCTGACAGAACTCTCTTTGAATGTGGCCGGGGAAGACTTCATGTCCACCCAAGGGCCACGTAGCAAACGCTGTGGGTGGAGCAGGTTTAGAGGGTAAGGGGCAGAGAACAGCTGTCTCTCCAGCATCTTCATGCAGCCAGTTGTACCGTCCCCACCGGGGCCTGAGGTCTGTCACTGTTAGTCTGAGTGGTTTAAACTGTCATTCATGCCTTTTGAGCTGGACCACCAGATGTGGAGAAAGCAACCTGTCCGGAAGTGCAGTTTGATTTTGTGTCACTTTGGTCTAGATGGTGTTAAGCGCTTGCTCTCTGTACCACGCGGGGCTGGCTATGGTTTGCCGTGGGCTTGTCCACCAGAGTGACTGCTCTGAGGCAGACAAGGGGCCCCTGGAGCTGGGATCTGTAGAAGCTGTGGAATTCTTATGGATCTTTGCCTAGTTTCCCTTTTTCCTTCCAAAGGGACTTAATGAATCCTTTCGGGATGGAAGGAATCAGCTGATTTGAAACCTGATTTGAAAGACTTGGGTCTCTTTCTGCTCTGAATCAATGAGTCAAATTGGGGTTACAATCAAAGGCCTAAGGTTTCTCCCAGTTCATCACTGTGACCCCCCACCCCACCCCCACCACCAAAGCAGGCCTTTTGCAAATCACCCACCCCTAAATATTTTGTTTCAAAGGAGGGGATCTATGAATGACCACCCCACGTGTCCCAGCGTAAAGCTGCACTCCTTAGGCTTTTCCCAGGTGTTCTCTTTACAGAAAAAACACCAGGCCTTTCTTCTGCACCACTTCTGGGTCAGTTCAGAACCATCAACCTTTAGGTCAAACCAAGGGCAAACTCGCCATAACCAAGCCACACAGTGCTGTCAACGTGCTCTTGGCACCACCCAGACACGTGAGGTTCTTGTGAGTTAGAACGGATTCAATCACAACAGGTGTGTATGTGTGTGTGTGTGCATATGTATGTGTGTGACCACCAGGGAGGATTCCCTAGGTGGGGAAAATGGTGTCAGTTAACTGAAAGGTTGGAGGCCAAGTTCATCCAGAGATGCTTCAAAAGGAAAGCCTGACAACCCACTTCGGAAAAGTCACCCACTGCAAAGCCCGGGGCACGCAGTGTCCTGTGGGTCCGCTGGGCTTGAATAGCAACTGTTTTTCTTTTGTTGGTTTGTCTATATTTACTACCTATTAGCATATTTTGAAAGCTCTTACTATGACCAGTGACATGGCTCGCTGTGCGGTAGAGCCCATGCCGATGTCAAAGGTTGTGGGCAGCCCAAAATAGAGGCAGGGTTGCCCTCGATTTATTGTCCCCTATTCTGTGTCACCAGCCCACCTGTGTTTCCATGTCACCTGCCTACCACTAGTTGCCTAGCTCCTACTAGTTGCCCTAGCTACTCAGCTTGAAGCTCCGTCTTCTAGACACTCCCTGGTGCGCCAATTTTCCCTGTTGAGTGGCTAGAAGAACGGCCTCTCCGACTTGTCACTTCGACAGTCTAGATCTCAGGAATCCCCAAATCCCTAAACTGCAACGCATGGACCGGAAGTGCGCAGCCTGTCCCATGACTCACCGCTGTTCTCGCTGTATGTCTCAGAAGTTCATAGGAAGCCCAGTGCCGTCTCCCTTCTTCTGGGCTTCTTGCTACGTCTTCTTAGCCCTTACTCCCTTGTCCCCTAGAGTGGCCACAGCTTCCTGATAACCAGGCCACAAGGTGCTCTCTTCTGGTGGATTCTGGTTAAAACTGGGAGTGCGACTGTCCAAACCCCAGTTGCTGGCCTCTTTAGAGCCTGTGTTCCCCCAGGAGCATATTTCCTGTTAGAGCAAACACAGCCCGCCTGCCTCAAAGAGTGTGCACAAACTTCCCCCAAATACTGGTGGGACAAGGTGCCAGGACTTAGACCAGACCTGCAATGGTGAATCCCCCACGGGGAAGCAGGGGCTGGTGCCGTGCTGAATCTGCCAGTAGTTTTGGGATCCACAGTTAGGAGGAAGGACAATGTCATGATTTCATGTAAAAGTTGAACCGATATTTGAGTCTGGCTCTGAGGCGAGGAGGAGCGAAGCTGTTCTCCCCAATCAGCCTGAAAGTGGCCTTTAGTATCAATGCAAATATCTCTAGGGTATGCTGCTATCGGCCAGGAGGGTGAACAGAGGCTGGGTTTTGTTTATTTAGGTCTGAGTACCATGGACTGTGAAAAGATAAACAGACGTGTCCTGGAAGAAGTATGGCCAGCATGCTCCCTAGAGGCAGGGATGGCACGACTTCGTCTTACATCCTTTGGCCATATTGCCAGGAGAGATCGGTCCCTGGAGGACGGTGTGCACGGTAGAGGGGCAGTGACAGCGAGATGGAATAACCTAGTGGTTTCAACAATGGGCTCGGGCCCTGGAACAACTGGGAGGGTGGTGAGACTGGGCGGTGTTTGGCTCTGCCGTGCACAGAGTCGCTATAGGTCGTCAGAGCTGACTCCGTGACACCCAACAACAGCAAAAACAAGAGGGGTTGTGGCCTCTCCTAAGGAGGCGTGATCAAAGATCGTCCGTGGGTAGGAGCCGAGGGTGGTGGAGTCCCCGAGGAGGAGACTGTGGAGCGGCCTGGTGCAATCGCTGTCTTTTCCCTTTGCTGTAATTCCCACGGAGTGGGAGCGGACTCCTTGGCATTTCACAACTAACCAGAACAAGTCCCTTCTACTAAGCCCACTCTTCAAAAGCAATAGTTTTATCGGGCTGTACTTCACATACCATGTAATGTAATCATTCAGTCATATTGCAAAGATCTGTACAATCACCACCACAATCAATTTCAGAACATTTTCTTCATGTCCTCGTTGTTAGCTCCCCGTTTCCATCAAGCCTCCCCTGCCAGGCCCCTAGGCAATTATCATATACCCCCAAGCTTTTAACCCAAAGCTTGTTAAAGAGATTTTTGTTGTCACTTAGATGATTAATTGAGTGCACATGGTCACACTGTGAGGGTTGTGCTGGGCAGTGTGATGGCAGCCAGGAGAAGCTGGCAAGGTGGGCAGGGAGGACCAGTGAACAGGTGATGCCACATTATTCTTTATATTAGCCAGTTTCTCTATTTGCTCGGCATACAGATTGGATAAGGATGGTGAGAGGATACAACCTCGATGCACACTTGTCTTGATTTTAAACCATATGGCATTCCCTTGTTCTGTTTGCACAACTGCCTCTTGATCCAAGCACAATTTACACATGCGCACAGTTTATTGTTCTGAAATTCCCATCCTTCTCAAGGCTGTCCAGATTTTGTTATGATCCGTAGAGATGAATGCCTTGGCAGAGTCAATAAACCACAAGGAACCCCCTTTCTGGAGTTTTCTGCTTTCCGCCAAGATCCATCTGACACCAGCAATGAAACATCTCTTGTTTCGTAGCCTCTTCTGAATCCAGCCTGAACCTCTGGCAGCTCCCTGTCAATGTGCTGCTGCAACTGTTGTCGGATGATATTAAGCAAAAGTTCACTTCTATGTGATCTCAATGATATTGTTCTACAATGTGTGCATTCTATTGGGTCACCTTTCTTTGCAATGGGTACAAATAGGTATATCTTTCCATCAATTGTTCACGTAGCTATCTTCCAAATTTCTTGGCACAAATGAGATTGGCATTCTATAAATTCCTGGAGCCTTGCTTTTGGCTATTGCTTTCAATGTGGCTTGAACGTTTTAGTTATGTTTATTTCTGCCTATGTCATTTTGCCCATGATCCATGTGAAAAGAAAGGAAAGGGAAATTTTGTCAGCTCCCAATACAAATACACCATCATGTCCACAGCCAAAACCAACTCCTCAAAGTCATCATAAATCTGCTACCACCTAACAGTAATTTGGTGCACCGGTTGCACATCACCAGTTTTTCAAATCTCGAGACTCTCTGATGTGGATAATCCTCTTAAATTGACTGCTGCCGGAGCCCGTCAAGGCAACTTACTTTCTATCGGGACTCCATTGGTCAGCCAGCTAACCTTGGGCTTGGGGTTGCCATTAGCTCTGCAGACGAGGCTTCCATCCTCTCCTGGGGACAGCACAAGGTTTCTAGGCGCCGCGATCCAGTACGGAGCCGCTTTGAGAGAAGAAACAGACAAAACAGGAACCAGAGTCAAATAAGTGTTTTAGCAGAAGACGCTACTCGATTATTTGAATCATTAAGTATTTTGTAAAACGTTTCATCGTCTCATTCTTTAGAGTGACTACATTCCTAAGCCAGGCTTTAAATACCACGTTAGATTTTAAAAAGAATGTGTACAGAGACTCACTGGCATGTTTCTGTTCTCTCCAGATTCTTTTGATAGAAATGTCTTCAGCTCATCTTACATAAAAAGTAGTCAGACATCTAAGAGGTGACAGATTTATCAAAGGTCTCCAATGATTTATAGGTATAAAGATTAAGAAACATGACTTAATATTCTGAGTCCTTAGAATATATCTATTTATAAAATTAGAGGGCAACTTTAAAGTTTTGCTTCTGAAACGTTGCAAAGAGAGTAAAAAAATTTTCCATATGCCCTTCCCCCAGCTTCCTTTAATGTTCGCATCTTATTGAGTCATGGTAGCCAAAGCTCATTGCCATCATGTTGATTTGTAGCATCCTCTGGTTGCTGGATCATTTCGTATTAACTAGACACCCCTGGCTAAAGGTGGAGCCAAACCTGTCAATCAAGTCGCAGCTTTGAGTATAAGAGTGTGAGACCCTGGAAAATGCTCTCTCTGCCCCTTTGGCTGCCTCTTTGCTGGGACTCTGCCACAGATCCTGATAGCTGCTGGGGG